TGAACTCGGCCTGGGCGCTGTCCCTCAGCTCTTCAGCTCAAGGCTAGCGCTCTACCATTTGAGCCACAGTGCCACTTCCGGCTTTTTTTCTTTTTGCTTATGTGATGCTTAGGAATCGAACCTAGGGCCTCATGCATGCAAGACAAGCACTCTTCCACTGAGCTACCTTCCCAGCCCCTGAATCGTATACTTTTAATGACCTAAATTTTAATGCTTTGAATTCCATTTCAATACAGCTATTTATAATAATTTGGGTATTTATAATTTCAGCACTCAGAAATCTGAGGTAGTAACTGGGTGCTGGTAGCTCATGCCTGTAATCCTAGCTACTAAGAAAACTGAGATCTGAGTATTGTGGGTCGAGGCCAGCTGGGGTAGGAAAGCATGTGAGATTCTTATCTGCAATTAACCACTAGAAAACTGGAAAAGGCACTGTGGCTCAAGTGGTAGTGCGCTAGCCTTGAGCTGAAGAGCTGAGGGACAGTGCCCAGGCCCAGAGTTCAAGTCCTATGACCCATCAAAAAAATAAATAAAAAATCTGAGGTAGTTAGTTCTTGAGTTCAAGATTAGTCTGGGCTAGACTCTGTCTATGGACTCTGTCTATGAAAAAAACTGTTATTTAAAAAAAAAATGAGCTGTGTGCTGGTGGCTAATGCCTGTAATCCTAGCTACTCATGAGGCTGGTATCTGAGGATCATGGTTTGAAGCCAACCTGGACAGAAGTTTATAAGAATGTTACCTCCAATAAAGTACTCAGGAAAAGCCAAAATGGTGCTGTGGCTCAAGGCGCTAGCCTTGAGCACAAAGAAGCTCAGGGACAGCACCCAGGCCTTGAGTTCAAGCCCAGGACCAGCAAAAAACATAAATAATAATAATGAGTTGGGCATTGGTGGCTTACACCTGTAGTCTTAGCTCTTCAGGAGGCTAAAATTTGAGGATTGAGTTTTGAAGTAGGCCTGGACAGGAAAGTCTGTGAGACTCTTATCTTCAAATAACCACCAAAAAGTTGGAGGTGTAGCTGTGGCTCAAGTGGTTGAAGCACTAGCCTTTAGCAAAAAAGCTCAGGGACAGTGTTCAGGTCCTGAGTTCAAGTCCTAGCAGTGGTAATAATGAGTCATTAACTGGCTGTTTTCTGCTGCAGTATACTGTCTCTTCACACTCTACATTCTTCTCTTGTACAGGCTATAACTACTCCTGCCATGGCCGTCAGTCATATCATGTTGGAATCATACAAAAAGTATATTCTAGTGTCTTTGATATTACTTGGCAAAGTACAACAGCTACCGAAATATACATCTCAAATTGTGGGTAGATTTATTAAGGTGAGTTATTAAAATTAATTTTCTTAAATGGTATGTACATAAAGAAATTTTAATGACACAGCTCTATTATTTATAGTGATCTAGCTTTCCTAGCAGCTTCAGCCTAGCAGACCCTTAACTGTCTTGTGGAGTCTCAGAGGATAGTTCAATCACTGTGCCTAACTTCATTCTAGTCCATATACACTCTGCTCACCTGCTGCAGAGAATGTTTTGAGAATGTTTCTCAGAAGCTCTTTGCAAACTTTTTCTCTGAGTATGAAGATGATAAAGGTCTTTAAGCTGTTTTATAAGGATTGATTTTTCTAATTTTGTTTTCTTCATAATATTTAAGCTAAAATGCTGGGGAAAAGTGATGTTGATTGTATTGAACTCCACCTTCTGAAATGTGGGGACATCTTACTAGAGCCCCCATATGAAGACCACACCTGTATCTCACACACTTTCATTCTAGTTCTCACTGATAACCTAGCTTTGGGGCAGTATTTTTAAAATAAATTATGGTTTAGAAAATACATATTCAGGGGCTAGGAAGGTGGCTCAGTGGTAGAGCACTTGCCTTGCATGCCTGAGGCCCTGGGTTCGATTCCTCAGCACCACATAAGCAAAAAGAAAAAAGCCAAAAGTGGCACTGTGGCTCAAGTGGTAGAGCACTAGTCTTGAGCTGAAGAGTTGAGGGACAGCGCCCAGGCCCAGAGTTCAGGCCCCACGACCGTACCCAAAAAAAAAAAGAAAATACATATTCAGCCAGGCACTGGTGGCTCACGCCTGTAATCCTAGCTACTCAAGAGGCTGAGATCTGAAGATCATGGTTCCAACCTAGCCTAGGCAGGAAACTCCTTGAAACTCTTATCTCCAATAAGCCACCAGAAAACCTGAAGTGGCGCTGTGGTTCAAGTGGTAGAGTGCTTGCCCTTAGCTGAAGAGCTCAGGGACAGCGCCCAAGCCCAGAGTTCAAGCCCCACAACCAAAAAGAAAATACATATTTATAATTTTTTAAAAATTGACACTTGCAAAAGATTATTATTATAGTCATTTTAATAGTAAGTTGTTTTTTTCTGCCAGTCCTGGTGCTTGAACTCAGGGCCTGGGCACTGTCCCTGAGCATCTTTTCTCAAAGCTAGCACTCTACCACTTGAGCCACAGCACCACTGCTGGCTTTTTCTGTTTATGTGGTGCTTACTGAGGAATCAAACCCAGGGCTTCATGCATCTAGGTGAGCACTCTACCACTAAGCCACATTCTCAGCCCATTGATAGTAATTTTTACCTTTATCCCCAAAACAAAACTCAGAAGTTTTAGGAATACCAGCTGGAAAATCTTTCTGATGAGATTTCTTCCTGGCATGTTGAAGACAGCTAAATGTTCTTTGCCCGAGAGTCCTGTGTGGTTTTCAGGGCTCTGGCTGGCTGGTTACAGGCAAGGGGAAAGGTAGGTAAAGATACTCCAATGGAAGAGTGGTAAGCAGTATAGGTTAGGACAGCCAGCCAGCCAGCCAGCCTCAGCATTGTGGAGAGCTCTCATGGGTTCCTCTACTGACCCTTCAGCAGGCCTTTTTTAAAAGGCATGCTTTATAAAGCGAAGTCTTCATGTTCAGGGTTTCCACTCACATGACTCAATAACTTACTCATGATGATACCATAGATGTTGAAAAGAACAGGACTTCGGGGTCAGCGGCAGGTTTGAACATGGCTTCTATCTGAGAGCTGTGCTTTTGGAGACCAGTTCACCTTCTCTTGGAACTCTGCCTCATTCCTTAATAGAAATTTTAGATTGTTCCACCGCAGCTGGTGAAGTATGTGATAGAGAGGGAGAGCTGGGGATGATGGAAGTTTTGCCTTCTTTAATTCTAGTATGTCTTAGCAATAGAAAAGCATAGAAAGCCAGGCGCTGGTGGCTCACGCCTGTAATCCTAGCTACTCAGGAGGCTGAGATCTGAGGATCGCGGTTCAAAGCCAGCCCGGGCAGGAGAGACCTTGAGACTCCTATCTCCAATAAACCACCAGAAAACCGGACGTGGCGCTGTAGCTCAAGTGGTAGAGCGCTCGCCTTGAGCTGAAGAGCTGAGGGACAGCGCCCAGGCCCAGAGTTCAAGCCCCACAACCGACCAAAAAAAAAAAAAGAAAAACATAGAAACACTGATAGAGAAAAAACCGTTTATCTTCCCTAAACTCAGTGGACTTTCAACCTGCTTTTCAGTTATTGGTAATATAAAGTTTTCTTGATAGATTACTCCATTGTGAATTTCTATATTTTGTCTTAAAAACTAGGCATTTGCTTTGGATAAGTTGTAATTTGATAAGAACAACATGGAATATGTTTGCTCAAAATAGAATACCTTAAGTTCATTTTTTCTTACCCAAGTTTTAGTCCTCTAAAGCTTTATTCTGATTTTTTCCTCATTTTCAAACTTTTAGCCCCTCAGTAATGCATACCATGAATTAGCACAAGTTTATTCAACCAATAACCCCTCAGAACTGCAAAACCTGGTGAACAAGCACAGTGAAACTTTCACCCGCGATAACAACATGGGACTGGTGAAGCAGTGCCTGTCGTCTCTCTATAAGAAGAATATTCAGAGGCTAACGAAGGTGAGGCAAGCATGGCCCTTGGATGGTGTCTCCTGACTGCCACGGGCCTGGTTTCTTCTCTTTCCCTTTCAGCATAGAGGAAGCAGGTCCAGAGATAAGTGTGGCAGGATTTCTATTCTAAGAGAGAACTCTGTTGCATCTGGGTTCTTAGAAGGAGTTTGATTGATACCTTTTGGTCTTTTCAGGGCTAGAGCAGGGTATTTGAGAAGAGGAGCAGGTGAAGAGGAAGCAAGGTAGGAGATACGGCTACATTGGGAGGCAGAAAAAGTAGCCCTGAAGGGGTCACCAGTTCCATATGGGCAGCTAGGGGTGTTAGTGATCATTGGCCTTGAACTTCTTAGGCTGTGCTGATCTCTTCTTGAACATCTTACTTAAACATAATATGACTTTTGACATGACCTTTAAGCCAAGGTTGTATAAGTCACATGCAGTTCTAGAATGTAAGGAAATTACATATAATTTTTTGTTTTGTTTTGAGACAGGGGTCTTACTATCTAGAATGGCCTTGAACTTGATCTTCCTGCTGTATCTTCTTGAGTGCTAGGTTTATAGGCATGTTTTACTGTGGCTGGCTCTAAGTTTTTATTTTCAAGTTAAAAATAATTGATGTTTTCTAGGTGCCGGTAGGTCACACCTGTAATCCTAACTACTCAGAAAGTTGAGATCTGAGGATCTGCAGTTCAAAGACAGTCCAGGCAGGAAAGACTATTAGTTAGACTGTTTTCTTCAATTAATCACCAAAAAGCCAGAATTAGAGCTGTGGCTTAAGTGGTAGAGCACTAGTCTTGAGCAAAAAAGCCCAGGGAGTATGCCCAGGCCCTGAGTTCAAGCTCCAGGACTGGCACAAAAATAAAAGAGTTGATATTTTTTGATTATAGAAAATATGTGTTAGCCTATCTACTCAGAAGACTCAGGTGGGAGTATCACTTGAGGCCAGTCTCAAAAAGCAAGAAAATGTACAGAGAGGTATAAGAAGGCAAACAGTCATCTATGTATTAAAAAAGCACGTTGCTTTGGAATAATTGAGCAAATAGCACATTGCTTTTGTTCTGGTGAGAAGTGTGGTCAGAGACTTGAGTAAGTGACAGCTGGTGTGATCCTCCCACCCACATCTGTAATGGGGAGGGGGGTTTGCAGGAAGCACAGGAAGAACAGGCATTGTTTGTGGCAATACTGTCTCCAGCAGTTGGAAGTAGTGATACCCTTAGCAGTGCAAGGACTAGGAAAGGAGTCAGGCAGAGGTGCAGGTGATTCGGCCACTCAAGGTCGTGGGCTGTGGAGGAGGAAGAGTGTCACTGAATAGGGATGAATTTCCTCTGAATACTCAAGGAAGAGTAACTTTGAAGTTTTCTAACTCCCAAGGAAATCAGCAGAGAATTTGTAAAGCATTAATTTGTAAGAGAAAAATGGAGAAAGTGAGTAAGAAAGCAACTTAGGAAAGATTAAAAATGTGACCTGTCAGCCAGGAAAAAACAAACTTGACTCTCAGACTGAAAGGACCAGCTTATGCAATCTGGTGTGTGTAGGCATTGCTACAATGGTTGTCAGCTCTTATTTGAAGCTCAGACACAGGTCATCACTTGGGGATAGTTGGTAGCTTTTACCTTGAAATGTCTGTATAGTAAAATACAGTTTTCTGCTCTAGATAGAAAAATTCAGAGCAAGAATTTGACCAAACAAACAGGAAGGGCCACAGGATGTTCAGGCCAGGGCTGGAGCAGTGACTCACAAAGTCATCGTGTCCTGGATACTTCATGTACTGACTTATGGTGTATTGTGGCACACTGGGCTTATGAGCACTGCTGGAGGGCACTAGTGGAGGACCACCATAAAATATAGAAAGCAGGAATGCTGCACTAATGCACGTCTAAAATGTGAATCTGTGATGATGGCTTCTACACTATACATTAGGTGTCAGGATATTAGAAGCAGAACAGAGCCTAGGATTTTCTCCCAAAGTAAAGCCTCTTTCTTACTAGAAAATCAGAAAATTGAAGTTTTTCAAAAAATCCTTGCCCGAGCTGGGCATTAGTGGCTCATACCTGTAATCCTAGCTACTCAGGAGGCTGAGATATGAGGATGGAGGTTTGAAGCCTGAGGAGGAAAGTCTGTGAGACTTATTTCCAATAAACCACCAAAAAGCTGGAAGTGGAGCTGTGGCTCAAGTGGTAGAGCGCTAGCCTTCAGCACAGTAGCTCAGGAAGAATGCCCAGGCCCTGATTTCAAGCCCCAGGACTGGCACAAAAAATAAAACAAAATAATCTTGGCCTGTAAACTGTGCATTAATGTCAGTGCTAGAAGTACATGCAGTAGCATTGCTAGATGAAATCAAGTATCCAGAATCCTTAAATGAAGGTTTCATATACTGCCTCTTGTTCAGACTGCAGCTCTTCAGCTCAAGGCAAGCACTCTACCACTTGAGCTACAGCACCATTTCCGGCTTTTTCTGCTTATGTGGTGCTGAGGAATTGAACCCAGGGCCTCATGCATGCAAGGCAAGCACTCTACCACTGAGCCACCTTCTCAGCCCTATCTATCCACATTTTTGTGTGTCTGTGTTTTTTTTTTTTTTGTAGAAATTCAGTTGCATGTAATTGGCTGTGCTCTACATGATCTATCTATCTATCTAGATATATAGCCTGTCCTGGGGCTTGAACTCTGGGCCTGGGCACTGTCCCTCAGCTCTTCAGTTCAAGGCTAGTGCTCTACCACTTGAGCCACAGCTCCACTTCTGGCTTTTTCTGCTTATGTGGTACTAAGGAATCAAACCCAGGGCTTCATCCTTGCTAAGCAAGCACTCTACCACTAAGCCACATTCTCAGCCCTCTACATGCTACTCTTTACCTTGCTGCTTCCTTATTCAACATGTTATGAATGTCTTTCTGTGGACATGAACCTGAGTCATAGATACCTTACATAGTAATCCCTTGTGTGGAGGGATCATGATTTGTTCAGTCAGTCCTCTTTTGGTAGACATTCAAGTAGAAGTTCCTATTTATTCTGAGATAGGCAAATGCTCGTTTTATGAAGTCTTGAAATCTTGAAGGCTCTTGAGTCTTCCTTAATGTTAAACTACTTTGGTACTTATTTAAATTAGTAATAATTTCCTTATCTTGGGTGCTACTCCTCTACTTCTTGGCAGTAGTGGGGCTTGAACCCACGGCTTTGGGCATTAGAGGCAGGGGCTCTGTCACTGAGCTATCTGACTATGGGCCTGAGCCCACTAGCTCAAGGCTAGTGCTGTACCACTTGAGCCACAGTGCCACTTCCAATTTTCTGGTGGTTTATTAGAGCTTCACACTTTTCCTGCCTGGGCTGGCTTTGAATCACCATCCTCAGATCTCAGCCTCTTGAGTCGCTAGGACTTACAGGTGTGAGCCACTGGTGCCCAGCAAAACTATGAAGTAGTTTTTTTTTTTTTTTTTTTTTTGCCTGTTGTGGGGCCTGAACTCTGGGCCTGGATCAGCTCTTCAGCTCAAGACTAGCACTCTACCACTTGAGCTACAGTGCTACTTCTGGCTTTTTCTGCTTATGTGGTGCTGAGGAGTTGAACCCAGGCCTCATGCGTACAAGGCAAGCACTCTACCACTGAGCCACCTTCCCAGCCCTGAAACTGAAGATTTTAAAAATCATTGGCTAATCAAGAATTTAGGGCTGAGGATACAGCGATATAGTGCTTGCCTGCTATGCCTCTGAGGCCTTGGGTTTGATCCCCAATACTGGGAGGAAAGTTTTTCAATGTGCCTAACTCTGAAAATGCCATTGTTATAATTTTTACCAGCTTCCACTAAAAAAAAAAAAAAAAAAAAAAAAGAGCCCTTTTAATATGTTCCTAAAATTGGCATTTTCATCAAATCCCAAGAAATACAGTGGTAAACATTGCTTTTCTTTGTGCTTTATAAGCGTGCAGCCTTATCCTCTGGCTCTCCTGGATTTTTTGTTTGTTTTGTTTTGTTTTTAAGTTTTGACATTGAGCTGGGCACTGGTGGCTGACACCTATGATCCTAGCTATTCAGGAGGCTGAGATCTGAGGATCACTGTTTGAAGCCAGCTCAGGCAGATAAATTTGAGACTCAGATCCAATTAACCAGCAAAAGTTGGAACTGTGGCTCCAGTAGCAGAATGTCAGCAGTGAGTATAAGAGTCAAGTGAGTGTTCAAGCCTCAGGACCTGCACCAAAAAAAAAGGAAAAAGAAAAAAAGAACTTTGAATTTGAAGGAGAATGTGATTTTTTTTCTACTTTATTTAATAGATAATACATTTATAATACAAAATTCAAAAGATATAAAGATCTCTGTTCTGTCTCTGTACCCCAGCCATCTATAGTCTTTCCTCATAAAAAAATCCAGCATTTCTAACAAGTGCTTTCTAGAGAAAGTCCATGTGGACAAGAATGTACATGGGCACATACATGCACATATGCAGTCTTCTTCATTTACTCAGCTGTTAGCATGCCACATGTACTATTAAGCAATTTCCCCCTTTTTAATAATGTACATATATTGGATTCTTCCTTTTTAGTTCATAAAAAATGTCCTTACAGGGCTGGGAAGGTGGCTCAGTGGTAGAGTGCTTGCCTTGCATGCCTGAGGCCCTGGGTTCGATTCCTCAGCACCACATAAGCAAAAAGAAAAAAAGCCGGAAGTGGCGCTGTGACTCAAGTGGTAGAGCGCTAGCCTTGAGCTGAAGAGCTGAGGGACAGCGCCCAGGCCCAGAGTTCAGGCCCCACGACCAGACCCAAAAACAAAAAAACAAACAAACAAAAAAAATGTCCTTACATTTTTTTTTTTTAACAACTGTGTAGTACTCCATCTGTGTGGATGTGCTTAAGCATAATCCTCTGTGAACCCGGAGGAAGTTTCTGGTCTTTCATTATAGTAAACACTTGTTGTTTTACAGAAAGAGGAAATTATGTGTAGGACCCATTTTAAGGTCAGGTGACCTGTGTGTTACTAGACTAAGGGTGCTGCTGGCTCATCTTCCTAGAGTTGCATCTGTGT